CATCAGGTTTGGGCAGACATCACATCACAGTGGGTCTATATACACGTACATGACGTACATGACAGTACATATACAAGGGATGAAGTCGAAAAAGAAACACGCATCGCGATATCGGAATGCTTGCTCGTAGTTCAGGCAAGTCAAAAGATCTATCTTTCTTTGTTTTTTTAATCTTTTTTCCATGGAAAGTGAATTCGATTTTCAATTATTTAGCTTGACCCACCCACCCACTATTTGGAAAAAAGATCGCAATTTTAAAACATTGAAAATTCTGAATGGCCCCTAAATTGACAACGATACATGCACATTGATAATGTTAACTGCACATGTTGCTGCCAATAGAATTGGCATTTTAAAAAAAAATCAATAACTGCTCTCATTCCTAAAAATCAATCAAAAAATTGAATTCTGAACAGTACAACCATAGAAATTAATGAAATTAATTAAGAATCATTCTGAATTAACACCAATTAATCAATAAAATACGTTATTGAAATGTGGAATCAATTTTAAAAAGACAACAAAAATTGTTATGTTATGAAAGGAATGTTGTGGTCTCGATTGAAACTCACGATGTGATAAAAATATTTCATGATCGCGTGTATAACTTTCAGTTGGTGCACAACATTTGTAAGCGAGGTTCCCATCTGTGTAAACATATGCAAATTTCATTAAGACCATGCAATCAAAATATTAGATACGAAATTGGTCTGCACGATTGTCAGATTGCATATTTGTAGCTGGCTCCAAACAATCTGAAATGAATGCATATCATTTGTAGTTGTGGAAGCTTGTATTGACCTCGGGTAGCAATTGAACAAAATCAATCAAATGATCGCGAGAAGAAATTAATGATACTCACCGGTAGAACAAAACCAAATTTTCTGAGAGAAGAGCAAAAGTTGGATAGTGCTGGACGGGGGGGGGGGGGGGGGGGGGGGGGGGGGGGGGGGGGGGGGGGGGGGGGGGGGGTGGCGGTGGGCCTAGACCCCTCGTCTTTTTTTGGGGGGTTGTTGTTGTTGTTGTTACCCCCTCAGATCCTCTAGTGTGAATGAGTGATACCATCATATTTTAAACAGTTCTGCAACTGCAAGGAGACGATACATTTCACCCCAAGGACTTCACGGTTTACTGCAAAATTGTAGCGTCTTTTTTAATTTGACATTGCAGTTTAGAATGATTCTGGACTCTGGAGATACGAGCAGCTCTGCGACGGCTTCCCACATTTAGGGCTGAGATTCTATTTTTATCGCGGTACATGTATTTCCGTCAAGGCTGCACTTAACTTCTCTTGCATTTTTAATTCAGCATTGATGTTTTTTCACCGTCTGGTGCATTTCATCAGTGTGATGTGCTTTAAAGTGTCGGATAATTTGATCGACAGTACTGCTGATCTCCCTGCGTAAAAGCTATTATAGAGGGCGGAAATTACATGCAAAAAGTGTTCGCAAAAAAATAAACTTTGCACCATGTTGAGATGTCAGTTACACATTTGCACTTAAAATGCACACATGTACCCGTATATTGTGTAGAATGGTCAGTGAATATGTTGAGCTCTATTTTCCCAGCCTACTGTAATTATGCAACGTGCTCGATTGTATGCTAACACAGTTATCAGCAGTGCGCACCAGCAGTTCCAAGAATTTGTTGACATATTTTGGAATTATATTGTTTGAAGTGGAGCCACTTGCCTTAAAATGTACAATATGCTGTTCCATACACATTTCAGTCTACCACAGTACAAATACATGTAACCTGCTTGATTTCTCTGCAAGTAATCTTTGCAATGCAAAGGATGCATGCACACAATCCATATGTTTCCCAAGTTTAATGGAAAGCCTTGTCGTATAATAGTGAATCACTCGGCCTTGTGTTTCATCTTGACAATTAATTTTGTGCTGCTTGTATACATGTGTACTACGTGTGACTCCGAGTACGTGCAGGCCTGCATGATGTAAACACAGATGATGAGATTTGGAAGTTAGAAAAGAAAAAAAAATGAGCAAAATACGCAGCAACCCTTGATTCGGGAAATGGCATCTCATGCAACGCAATATCATTTCTGTGCACTCCATGTACTTTGAACATGTTGAATGGAAAGCAAAATTTATATTCGTGCAAAATTTGTGACGTCGCGGTAAATTTGTTTTGTGCTGCAAATTCACAATACGTGAACATATTTCAACTGCGGCCGGCGGATTTCGCACTGAGTTTCTCGTGACGATGAATTCGCTTCACATTTGTATGTATATGTGTATGTGAGATGGTCCACATGTGTGTAGCTAACCTTGAAAAAAATCTGCACATAAGATAATCTGGTAATCAAAATCTGGTTCATTTGGAGGACGTGGATGTTTACACACATGTACATGTATTCCACTTCATGTTTTGGTTTCTGCCTTCCACAATATCGGAGGATCCTGCTTGATTTCTCTAAAATTAATCTTTGCAGTGCATACAATCAACAAAAGTCTGATTTGAATTTTGAAAGCCATGTAAGGTTGAATCGTTTGATAGTGGTTGTAATTAAAACACATATTATATTTCCAAGTACATGTATGCCAGTGCATACACGTACATGTATGCGTTCACGTACATGTACATGTATAGATCTCGGTACCCTGCATGGGCAAATGTTTGAGCCTCGATCAAGGCATATACATGTACAATTTTTACAACCATATGACGGATGTCAAAAAGCCTACAGGAACATCATGTAAACGTGTATGAAGCACCTTGTTACCCACATGCATACATGTAAACATACATGTACACATTGTGTGTTTGTTTGTTTTTAAAAATACATGTAAGCATGTTCTTGTTCTGCATACATGTACATGTGCATGTATTGGTAGGTACATGTACATGTACATACATGTACATGTGTTTGTATTTTTTGGGGTGGGGGCTGGGGGCACGTAGATTTGGTGTACGTACATGTACATGTACATGCAGATACATACATGTAGAGATACATACATGTATTACATCTATTACATGTCATATACATGTAGTATACATGTACATGACATACCTTTATGTACAGGTAGGCCTATTGAAAAGCACACAAAGAGTATGAGTAATTTCTGTTTTGCAGTTGACTGCTCCATAAGTCCAAATTGAATGAAAATCGAGATTGTTGTGTATTATTAGTCACCTCATGGTTCTCCATGGTCACCTGTTGTGTAGTTTCGTAGACAGCAGACAAATGTACTGAAAGTACCCCCCCCCCCCTCCCCCCCCCCCCCCCCCCCCCCCCCCCCCGGCAGTTAAGCAGATGTGTGTACAATGGACATAAATGTGAATGTACAATGAACTTCTTTCATGCATATAATGGAAGCTTTTGAAATGTTTGGTACCAGCACCTGTTGCTTATCAATTATTTGCAAAAATCGGGCTAGACTTCCCTCTCTGTTTCTCAGAACTGCACAAGTCTTTGGTATTTTTTACCAGTGTGGTTGACGGAGGGGGTTTGGAATTTCTTTCCTTTTTAAGTCTACACATATTTTTTTTTTGCGCTTTGAAATTTTGGGGATTTATCGCCTTGTAAGCTTACACTTCCTTTTGTGGGATTGAGGAACTGTCTGAATCTAATTCAGCAATGACCGTCAGATTTCAGTAATAACTAAATTTAAAGAAAACAGGTTTTGAATGATTTTGATTGTATTTTGAATGTGTGTTCATTGAATATAAATCCAATGTGCTTTACAGTATGCAGTACAAAATAGTAATATTGATAGAGTGTTGGTTGCACCTAATATATGCAAAAATGCAAGTTAATTTGTAACAAAAACACTCCCCTTTGTTGAAATTGTACACAGTCTGGCTTTGCCAGACTCAACTGTAAATAATTAGAATCCACAGCAGGTGGTTGTCCAGGCAACTGCCATAAATAACGCAAAATGTTTCACGGAGGATGGGTCTCCCAAGCAAGGGAGGCTCTTGGATTAGCGGAGCCGTTGCTATTTGCAGTGAAGATGGGAGTCTGGGAAGACCTCTATAAAGCTTATGAAACAAACTGTTGTTAAATGTAGACTTCTTTTTTTGCATTAATCATTTTCAGCAATCATTGCACAATGGTATATTTATAGACAGGATATATTTATATTTGTGCACATCTGGTAGAGCCAATGACAAGTTGTGATAAGATCTTTTCATTTTCATATTGAGTGTGCTGTTTGTAGTCAAGATTGCGTGACATGTAGGGTCCTGAAAGAGTTATGCATACATGTATATGCATACATTATGCCAAGAAATTTGAACCGTCACCCCCCTCCCCCCCCCTTGGAAAAAAATATGCATAATTCTTATGATTTCATTATCACACATGTATGGGTGTGATCAACTATGTACATGTACGTATACGTTCTTTCATTGCTGTACAAATGTAATTATGTATGTATTTTCATATTCGACTGCAGTGCAGTCATATTGAATGGAAGAATAAGCTTTCAAAAATATAAAGAAAAGGAAATGATAAGGAATTCCTGGGAGGACTGAATTTGCACAGGAAACGCTGCTTATAATGTGCCCTAAATGTTAACGCTGACAGAAGTGACTCAGTCCATGATGACAACATTTTTTTCAAGAACCAGATATTTTAATCCCAATGACGCCTTTTTTTTTTATATAGGGCTGTTTAAGTAGAGTCAGGTTGGCGTGGCGGTATTTTCCTCGCCTTCCACTGCTGTGATCCGGGTTCGATTGCTGCATTTGGTTTTCAGTCCCTACTTGATTCCGTTGGTTTTTTTTCGAGAAAATTTTCTATTGGGTTTTTTTTCCCACATCTGAGACTGTAATTTCTTCACATTGTCTTCTCTTTACTGGGCCCCATGGGAGCCCAGTGGATTCCACTGAATGGGCTGCCCAGTTCAAATAAGAATTAAATAAATAAATAAAGCACATCAATTTGATCAAGCCCCGTCTGTGTTTTTCCCCCCGGAAATAAGGAAGTGGATTCCACCAATAAATGTGTTTTACTGTTGTTTGTCCATTTGCAGTAGTTGTCCCAGCATAGAGGAGTTTCCGTCACAGCAGAGAACTTGAACACCAGAAAAGGAACCTTTCATCAGGAAACTAAAGCCACACATACAGTTGCGTCATGGGTAGCACATCGTCCAAGTTTCGCAAGGCGCTGTACGCCGGCGACGAGAAAGTGGCCGAAGAGTTGTACCACGGCAGCGTGGAGTTTCAGAAGGTGTTTGATCCCAACTCATCGTACGGGGAGAACTACAGCCACAACACGGCTCTACACTATGCAAGCAGGCACGGAATGCATAGACTAGTTAGGTAGGTTGCCTGTTTAGTTCCCTCCTTTTGTTTGATCAGGCACAGACAGTCAAAAAATACATCCTGTTCCCTGCCATGCCTTTTACACAGGCTAGTCACCAACAGTCAGATCATATTTCCTGTAGGCACTTGTGACAGTCAAATTCCATCAACAGACAAAAGCAGGTGACTGGTAGGCACAGCTTTCTTATCAATCACCAGTTAAAGCTAGATGTACTCTTGTCACAGGATTTTTATTACAGCATCATTTTGGCAACCCAAACGCCAACAGCAACAACCAGATGTTGTCTACAGGTGTATATTCACTGTACTGTACATGTATGTTGGGAAAAATTTGTGTTGTCATTCATTAATAGTGGAAACATGATTCAAAATCACCATTGTTATATTTTTAAAAATTGCTAGGCCAGGTGTATACTTTTCAAACCTGGATGCCTCTCTCTTGTCTCAGGATATTCATACAGCGGCACAGCGGCAACCCCAACAAACGCAACAGCGACAACCAGACGTCGCTGCACTGCATCTGCATGGAGGAGCAGATCCGGCCGCCCTCCTCAACTTACAGCTACTCCCAGTACTACTACTCGCAGCCGCCGGAGAAGAAGCGTCTGGAGTGCCTGCGACTGGTGCTGGTGTGGCGCGGGATCGCCATGGGGGAGGGGGAACGGGAGCAGATACAGATAGATGCCGAGGATGAGGTACGGTAACAAATGTGGACACTTTTAAAGCTATAGTCCATCATTTGCAGCCATCCGAAAAGTAACTGGCGTAATTATTGTTGAAAAACAAACTTGGTTGAAAGATAGTAAGGGAACTAAACTCCCTGTGAAATTATTCTTTCTGGGAAGCTGTCATTTTGAAGTAATCAACGAAAGAAGGCATTTCCAACGGTGATTCTTAAGAAGCACCGTAGGAAAATTTAAATTAGTAGTTCGTTTTGTTATTCAGCGCAGCGGGCACAAGTATTGGAACGACGCACGCGTGCGCGCGGTTGTTATAATTCATCGGATCAGTGCGCGACGTCGCGTAAAGCTGCAATTCAAAATAATTCAAAACATGATTCAGTAACTTTTGATTTGAAATTGAGATCTTAGAATGCTGTTTTTCTCGGAATGTACAGCTAAAGCTTAGCTGAAACTTCATCAGGTTAGTTGCTCAGTATCCTTCATTAGATTTTGAACTCTTTTGTTGCTTCAAACGAACAAAATGCACAAATTACAAATGATGGACTGTAGCTTTAATAAAATAATTTGTTAATTTTTAGTTGAAAAATTAATAATGGGTTTGTAGAATGCCATGGTCCAGTGGTTATGGTGTTTGACTCATGTACGATAAAGTGCATGGGTTCGAACCCTGCCAGTAACATGGTGTTTGTGCCCTTGGGCAAGACACTTAACTACAATTGCCTCTCTCCACCCAGGAGTAAGAATGGGTACCTGTGAGGGTAGAGGACCGAGTGTGAGCTGACATCGGCTGCTGTGTGTTCTCATGGCCTGATGAATGGGGGAATAAAAGCGTTTTGAGATTGTTGATACTATAGAAAGCACCATATAAGCATTACAATTTATTTTTATTTTTAATAAATACTGCAAACTGCTCACTGACTGGTTTGACCTTAAATATACATTAGAGACATGACGTTTTGATTCTAGCAAGATCTTGCTCCATGAGTTCTATTTGAAAACAATAAGAATGAACAAGGAAACTATTCCGACCAATGTACTCAGCAGTTTTGTATGGGTTTTTAGAAGTCATTTTGAGAATGAAATTCAGGGTTCTATGAAAGTACACGGGCACTAATACCGGTACTCGGGAAAAAACAATCCCCTTGTCTGCCTAGGTGGGATTCGAACCTGGGTTGCGAAGGTGGAGGGTGAAAAGAACCACTGTGCCAGACTGACTTATTTGTTTGAATTCAATATATATGTACGTGTGCTACCAACATCTGAAGAACTGATGGTGAAGAGAATGAACAGTGGAATATTAAGTTGACGAAACTGGTTCATAAATCTGCAGAAAGGGTTTGAAAATTTGACCCTTTTGTATTTTCAGGATGGCAACACAGCCTTACACTATGCAGCCGGCTCAGGTTATCTGTCGTTAGTCGAGGTAAAATATCCAGTAATATCTTTACTACTCAGTAATTTTATTTTATATTCATTGGAAGTCCGTCCAGGTGCCATTGCACAATTGTGGTGTTTGTTGACGACGCTTACTGTGTGTAGTTGTGACGTCCATTACCTGCAGAATTGGTGTTTGTTTGGCCTTGTGCATTGGGGAAGATATAAAAACCACCTTTTTTGCCTCATTCAAATTTCAAGGTGTTCTTACTGCAAGGTTTTGTATGCGTACATCTGCAGGTCATACATTCATTTACTATGTAAGATTTCTGCACATTATCTTCAGTGTAGTCAAAACAGTCACATTTATTTTGAACATACTATTTCATAAATATTAAATTAGGAAGGAAAAGGAAATGTGTAAAATTGTACTAAATCGAAACGTTTAATTGAAATTTGTAAAGTAATTATTTATTCCAAACTAAATGTGAGCAAAATTTTGTTTCCAATATTTTTGTTCACTTTTTAGAGTGGATACTTTTTGTATTTCTAGTAAAATAGCAATTTGAAATGGACTAAAACATTTGGGGACTGAAACTCTTCAATAAAGTTTGGGAAAAGGAATTTATAATAATCTTGCTTGGCTCATATCCGTAATGCGCTTATTGTGATCTGTTTCATGTTTTTCTACTCAGATGTTGTTGGAGCATAATGCATCCATGTTTGTTGAAAACGCGGACAAGGAGACGCCATGTGACTCTGCGGAGAGACACCAACACATCGACATCGCCCAGCTACTGGAATCCAAAATGGTCTTCTCCTCGGTGAGTAGTGCGGAGATGCAACTCAATAACAATAACAATAATATGAAGTTCTTATTATACAAATAATGAACGTTTGTTGAGTGCAATGGTAAGAATAATTTCATGAGGTGACAGATGAAATGTTCGCCTCGTGGAATGGAACATTTCATCTGTCACCGAATGAAATTATTCTTTCCATTGCACGAACGTAAAACATTCATTATTTGTTTTATACAACACCTGAATAAATCCTTGTCATCTGATTGGTTGACTTTTAATAGCCAATTTGTTCAGGTTGAAAACTGTTTGAAAGTTTGACAAGGAAGTTCATCATATTTAATTCATGCAAACTGTTCAACAGGTTGAGAACCATATTCAAGTAATCTCGATTTAAAACAGTGCCACCGCCAGCAGCGATGACACCGTGCAATGGAAGTTCTATTCACCGTGCAATGGAACTTCCATTGCACTGTGCGCTGCGCGTTGCGCGCACGCCGTGCGTTGGGACGAATAATTGAATAACATGTGATCAATGATCCACCAATCAGATGACGGGGATTTATTCAGGTGTTGTATAAAAAGCGCTATTAACGTAAGTTGTGAACAAAGTAAGCAAATTACGTGAAATTTTGAAAGGTAACAGTCAGAAAAATAACACATCAACAGATTCTGTGACTTGATTGGCCGAGAGCGAGTCACATGGTACTTTCTATTTTTCAGTGCTTGGCCAAAAGTACTATACCTGTAGCAACCAAAGTACTATACCATTAGCATCCAAAGTACTATACCCACAGCGCGGTATTTGTGTGCAAATGCATGCTGGTGTGCGCGTTGAAGGTAGCGTGTATTGTTCCCAAGAGAGCACGCCACAGAGTCAGGTTCAAACATTTTTGAAGGGGTGGTTTGGATTTTTTATTGAAATTTAAGTTAATTTTATTTGTGTTCAGATTTAGATAATTTAAAATATTAAAACCAAGCAGAATCTATGGGTGAAGTGTTATAAAACAAATATTGAATGCTTTTATCTCGTGGTGAAGTAAAACTAGCCTCCCTCACTGGAGCATTCTATTTTTTCCCTCGGCTTCGCCTCGGGAAAACAAGAATGTCCATGGATCACGTCGGGAGGCTTAGTTTTACCACACCACTCGAAGCATTCAATATTTGTATAAGATGTACTTTACCTATATGTTATTTTTATTAAATAGAGCAAGCCAAATATTTTCAAAAAAATTAATAACAAAATTAATTTTGGCTCACCCAGTATATCCTCTTATAGACACTGAGTATCATGTTAAAAATGAGCAGAGAATGGGACCAAAGTAAAGTCAATGTTGGTTGTTTATTACGGTTTTAAATTGGACAAAACTAGAGTTTGCCTCAGTGAATGCCAACATAAATGTAGAAATATTTTCCCAACAAAACGATTACATTGCAACTCCCATATTTCCTGGTTGCAACATTTTTGCACATTGAATTCAATTATGTATCCACTGACTGCTTCCACTGCTCAAAATGGTACACAATGAAGAGAAACATGTAGCAGTTAGTATAAAAATAAACTGAAGAGGATATATTTAAAGGAAAAGACTAAATGTCAGTGTTTTATCTCACCGCAGCCAACTAATGAAGAGGAAGATGTAGAGGAAATAGGTGCCATACAGTATGAGGAGGTAAGACTCTTAACTTGTACTCTATGATGCTAACGAGTCGGATGTGGACAGTATTTTTAGACATTTCTTTTTGATTTAAAAAGTCCCCCCCCCCAAAAAAAAATACCCAATTGGGGTCAAAATACCTGCCCCTGAACTCCGTGTATATAAAAAAATTCCAGTTGAAAAAGATAAAAGAAACTGTAGAATTAGTACTTGTATTTTATAAATCACGTAAAACAAAGAATCTGTACCTTTAAAATCTGCAAGTTCACTACACTCTTGTGTTGCATACATCCCGAGGACAGCAACAGAAAGAGAGACAGATTCTTTTTGTTGTTCTATTATGTTCATCTTTTGTTGAGAACGGTCCTCAAATGTAATGCAAGGGTGTGTGCTTAGTCTATGGGAGTGTGTTATATTATAAGGACTAAGAGAAAGACAATGCATTGTCCTCGGATGTAATGGTAAAACACAAGTGTGCGCACAAGTAGGTTTTCAGGTGCAATAACCAACACTTTGTCGCTGTACTTAGTGTGCCAAAATTCTTTTGAGAGATCTAAGTTTCTTTTTTGCATTAAGTTTTGAGATAATATCTCAATCTATTAAATGTTTCAAATGTAACCAGTGCTTATGTAAATGTATTTCGGGATGAAATGGTTCACTAAAACTACACAGATTAAACGATTTCGCAGAATTGATTTTGTGGTGTCATATGCAGAGTGTCATCCAAGTATTGGAACTGGCCAATAATATTTCCATCAAAAGGAAGTGGTTTTGGTGCATATTTGAATGGCCACTTGGCCAGCTGTCCCCTTTAGTTTACCAAAGTAGGCTGGTGATTTTTTTTGTTTCATCTCACAAGCCCATTGCCAGTGCTGAGTGTACATGTGTAAAAGCTAACGTCAGTGGAGGGCAAAACCCAATGTTAAAATTTATGACTGTTGTTCAAAGGGCCAAAAAAAGAAAAGTTTCTGGTATGCGCGCGCGTCGCCGTAGCCATGCGCGTCAGCAAAATGAAAAAGTTTTTTTTTCCAATGAAAGATGATGTCTCAAAACCGCCAAACTCACTGGTTTGACTGGAATCCTGCTGCTGCACAATTTTAACGTGTTTTTAGATTGGGTTATGGTCGAGAATAAGCTTTATGTGGCCTCTCTGGACTCCCATATATTTGCACTAAGTTTAGTCGGGCACCAATTTGCAGTCATCAGCCGACATTTGAAGCAAAAAAATCAGGTAAAAAAAAAAAAAAAGCCGCGTCGCCGCACCACTTTTTGGGCAAGCTCCATACCAGAAACCGGAGATTTTTTTTTTTTTGCCAAATGTCACAAAATTCATTTTTTTTTGTTCCAGGCCTACAGTGGTTTGAGACTGCAGGAGCTCCAAGAAGCTAAAGACTTGGTGGTGGTGGAGACTGCTGATATGCTGAGGGTGCCTCTCTTCACAGCTGAAGCCTTACTCAGGAACTTTGGTACGTAGATGGGGACGTTATTTAAAGGAAATTTAGGTTCTCAGTATATGATCAGTGTAAATTGTAAAATCTGTAGCGAGGATGCATGGTTCTGTGCAAGGAATCAGCAATCACAGGAAAAATCTACGATTTGAATATCAAATTTGAATAAGATAAAGAAAAGGCTGTTGCAGACTGCTGATTGACTTGAGTGATCGGGAATACTAAAACTTCACGAGTTGGAGGACCAGTTTGATAGGGTAGCGGAGTCTACCATTTGAGAAAATTCTGCTTGAATTAAATTTTTTAGGCCTTCAAACTTTAAAACAGATATTTTACTCTAAACTATTATATTTTTTTTAGGTTCTGAGTTAACATGTCTATGGCTTACATACTCTCACAAAGTGGGAATAATGTCAAATATCATAGTTCTAGCAGAAATCCTCAGGATGCAGTTCTCCAAATGAAACTTTAATCGTATTTATCCAAGCCTTCAGAGACCAACAAGCATTTGAGATACAAAGTAGTTCTCACAAGGAGTGAAAAAAGTGCTCTTTTTCAACAGGTCTAAGATCCAAGAAGTTGAGTTTAGTGTGCGTTTGTGGGAAAGAGCACATGAACTAAAATAGGTTGTAAATAGGGCCTATTTGACACAGGATAGACTCGTCAATTAAACTTAGTCCCATTTTTCAAGGTCTGTATTAACCCTAACTCCCTAGGCCTTTTTGCTAGGATGTAGCCTCAATCCTGCAAAATCCTCCATTATTTCTTGAATATGGTCCATGGAGGGGTGACCACTGCCTGAATCCTGCAAAATCCTGCGGCAGTGACTGTCAATATGTTTAGGCTTGGCCAGTGACATCCTGGAGCAGTACGGAGGATTTCAAGCATACTCCAGGCCTATATTTATGCATGGCTGAGCAAAAACAACACAAGGTCCAGCCCAAGACCTTGACAAAGTGCATCCTACGAAATCAGTAAGGCACTTTTGCCATGCAACCCCAATCCTCCAAATTCCTCCACTTTGGCAAAGAGGATTTTGAAGGATTCAGGGCAGTTAGGTTTAAGACATAGAATTTTGTCAATATTTCTCTGGGAATTTTTTTTTTTCAGAGTGGTCCAGAGAAGCCTTACTAGAATGCTGGATCCAGAACCCGGAGGAATGCTGTGAGAAGTGTGGCGTCAAGCCCCCGGAGAATCTGGACAGATTTGCCGAGGAGCACAAGCTGAGCTCGCTAGAGCCCAAGCCGGTTACGCCCCAGGAAGAGCCTATTATGGTAAATCATCACCAATTCTTATGGAACAATTCCTAAGATGAAAATTCACGGCTTCTGTGGCAGCTTCATGTATAACATTGGTCTTCTAGTACCATAGAAATGGCGACAGTCTACTCAAAACCCTTTGCCGAAATTCTGCTGGGCTAGTCGAAACAAGAGTGAAACAGTTGTTGTTGTACTTTAATACAAATTGTTTTCATGCAGAGTTCGAAAACTTGAGTTCAGTTCATGCTTGGCGCTGGAAAACAAAACACAACTGCAGACTTATGTTGTCTTGGCAAGTATTTGCGCTGCTAATTTGCAAAAATGTTGAACATTTTTAACATATGATGTTGCAAATTGTTTTGTGAAATCGAATTTGTATTTGCTTGCATTATGAACTGGCCTTTAACACACAGATGTATGTGGTGGTTAAGAGTAGGTAATTTCACTCTCATTTGTATGTGTGTGTTTTAGAGATTGGTGTATATTTCACTGCAAAGAAAAGATGAACAGAAATGATACAGACGTGCAATTTCACCGTCACTCGCATTACCTTTATATGCCATGGGGCTACTTTGGCCTCTCACTGCTTTCAAAGTATTTGATCAAGCTGAATCTAACCAGCCATACAACAACCTTGGGGTAAGGGGTACTCAAAAATGGAAAGAAAAATTCAACCCATTCATTCACTTTTTGAAAACGTGTTGGTCGTCACTCGCATTACAAAAAAAAAGACACAAAAATTGTCTTGCAATTTTGTTGTTAAAGTCTCCTCAAACTGTAGTCTGCCTCACAGAAGTAACATTGTTTTACCTTTTATACAACCCATTGCTAGATATAATAACCCGTTTTGAATCAAATCAGTGTGTATTTTAGATGTAAGGGACATTTATAGATTACAGAGATGTACCATCACTCACATTACGTCACTCACATTTACATGAACTGCAACATAATGAAACTTGTTCCTCGTCAAATATGAACCTTTGTCTCAGCCTTAACAACTAAAATTCACAATAACACTTGCATTTTGCAGGTAAAAAGAGGGTACATTTTGTACAAAAGTGATTACCTAAAATCCTGAATTTTAGCACAAAAAAACTCAGCTTTCGACAAAAAAATGCAGTTAACCACATTCCATCTTACTACTACACCATTCAAATGTAATGTCTTGTTGCCCCCTTTAATTTGATACCACATTTGAGGTTGTGGTGCTTGTAGTTTGGAAGTTTTTTTCATAATTTCCCCGTTTTTCAGCCTTGTCTACTTTTGCGTGGAATTGCTTGCATGGTGTATTGGTGAAGTGTTCATCCTTGCCCTTTCATTAGAACAGTCTTGTAGTCGTTTTCTCTCTTACTGTAATTCACTCCTTATGTATTGGTGAAGTGTTCATCCTTGCCCTTTCATTAGAACAGTCTTGTAGTCGTGTTCTCTCTTACTGTAATTCACTCCTTAACGGCCATCACCCATTTATTTTCCCGACAGTGTGATATATGTACGTCTACTGTACCAGCAGAAGAAATTAGCAGCGATACTCTGTGTTCACATCAGTTTTGCCGAGACTGTTGGGAAAGGTGAGATCATTAGGCCACCAGCCAGCCATTCATCAAATTAGCCCCTGGCGATATTGATGGAAAATTTATGATTTCTTTAACAAAGAACAACATCTTTGGAGTCATTGTCCGAAGCCTGAGTACTTTCTTTTATCTCCGTTGATAACGGAAGCAATATTTGCCTGTGTGCCAGGCAAATATTTTTCCTGGCTGGTACTTAGAGAACAAATCATTTGACTCATGATTTTGCCACATCATCCTCAGGACGTCTTCAAGAGACTTTATTTTGTTAAACAACTGCCACTTAAAGGGCATATGCAGTGGAATTTTGCTGACAATGAAATCCTTGAAAATCTACCTTTGTGCCCCTTTTAACTTTAATTTTTTAATCATCATATTGCCACTTCAAGGGGTGTTTTGATGCCGTTTGTGGTCTTTATGCAAAATGCAAGATTTCATATTCATAAGCAAAACTGTGATGTCATTCAAAGCATTAACTTCAGTGTTACAGCTTCTTCAGCACCAAATTTAATTTTTTTTTATTTGACAAATTTTTTGTTCACAATTGAACAGAAAACTGCTTAATCGAAGAATGTGTGCCTTAGATGACATCACATATATAGCGCCCTCGGTTGTCAGGAAAAGCATGGAACATTTCAAATGTTTAAGAAAGTGCACTTTACAAAATTTTAACCAAATAAAGGATGTGCCACAGTTTTCAGATATTTTAGAAGAATGGAAACTTAAGCAAGTTATAGTTTAGTGTAAAAGTCATATCATGGCCCATTTAATATTTGTTGCTTAACTTAATGTTCTGTTTTAGGTATCTGAGTGGTAAAATTAAAGAGGGGAACGCCCACAGTATTGTATGTCCCGGCTACGACTGCGACCGTCTGGTACCTGTGGAGACCATTGAAAAACTGGTATCCCGCGAGATGGCAAGGCGGTACTTACAGTTTGACATCAACGTAAGAATATTTTGAAAATATGCCCCAATCTCTCTGATATATAGAGTCAGAGAAGGTGCAGTGTATCATTGTTGTCATGACCTCTGACATTATGTCTGCTAACTTTGAACATATCCATTTGTGAACACACACAAACGTGTGTTCACCGTCGATCGTGGACGTCCTATTGTCCCTCTTTTGTTTGTACTCTAACTTTTTAGGAAGACTCCCATAGGTTTTGTACACGACCCCAATCGCGGACGTATGCTGGGAATCGGGGACGATATTGTTCTCTTTTGTTCTCTGGTATTTTTGTCCACGGTTTGAAAAGATGAACACGTACATAGGTACTGTGTTTTACACAAATTGAAAAGTTTGTCCAATCAGACTACGATTAGACAGATTGTGACCAAATAAAACAAAGCAATGAAATCACGAAGGGCATTGCCTGACGTCAATTCTCCTGTCTTAAAAAAATCCACACCAAGGTTTGTCCCTGGTTTCAGTGTTAGGATACATTTTTGTGATTTTAGGGTCTGTTAGAGCCTCTACAACTGGTCTCACGACCTGATGAACAGGGGTAATAATTGTGAAGCGCTTTGAGACATTTGGTGTAAAGCGCTATATAAGCACCACATTATTGTTATTATTACTGAACATGAAATACCAGTGTGAACGCAATGAACCATTCGATTGGCCCGCCAGACCTCACACTTTTGTAGAGCTTAATACTACCTTCTCACCTCATTAACTGAAATCGGTGATGTCTGATGTGGCTATTGTTCACATTTGCATTTATATAAAAAGAAATTATGACATTTGGCAAATGATTAAGATATGTGCCTTTGTTTCAAGTGTTAAAGGTATAGTCCATCATTTGTAATTGTGCAACAAACATGCTCAAAATCTAAAGAAGGGTGCTGAACAACTAACCTGATTAAATTTCAGCTCAGCTTCAGCTGTATATTTTGAGAAAGACAACATTCTAGGATCTCGATTTCAAATAAAATGTTGCTGAATCATGTTTTGAATTGGGCCTGAATTCACCGTCCGAGACACCTTCTCACTGAGCCAATTGCAGCTACGTGATGTCGCACACCGATCCAACGAATTAAAGCAACCGCGTGCGTGTGTGCGTCGTTTCAACGCTTGCGCGCACTTTACTGAATAAAAAAACCCAGACAAAACGGAAATTTCCAACGGTTTTTCTGTTTCTGTTGATATAGTTGTTACTTCAATCCTAGTTACATTACATGTTGGAAATGCCTTCTTTCGTTGATTTCTTCAAAATGACAGCTTGCCAGAAAGAATAATTTCACAGGGAGTTTAGTCCCCTTACTATGTGGTTAATAACCAAGTATGTTTTTCAACAATAATTACGTCAGTTACTTTTTGGATAGCTGCAAATGATGGACTGTAGCTTTAAGCACTCCTTCATCTTGTGTGTCAGAGATGAAGCCGAAGATGGAGTCAAAGGCAAGGTTTGCATAATGCCTGTACATTTATCCACTTTTATGTCGGCAGGCTTTTGTGGAGAGCAATCCCAAGCTGAAGTGGTGCCCGGTGGCCGGTTGCGGCCGTGCCGTCCAGATGCCCCAGCGGGATCCCACCACCCCGTATGCCACAAGTAGTAATAGACCTAGTGGGGCAAGCAGCCCCTCCACCCCACCCTCCATATCCCACGCTGTCGACTGTGGCCAGGGACACATTTTCTGCTGGTGAGTTTTTCAGAATGAAACTCCTTAATTTTATTGACCTCTTGGGAAAAGTTAGTGTTAAAAGCTTTTAAAATATTTTAACCATAGCCCTCTTGAATCAAGTGTCTGTTCAAAAATGCAGTGCTTTCTTGTTGATAATATCGTAACCTTAAAGTGTCTTGTTCCTCCTTGTCTTTGTCTTCTGCCTGCAGGGACTGCAGTGGTGACGCCCACGAGCCCTGCTGCTGTGAGAACTGGAAGAAGTGGATGGACAAGATTGCGGAGATCAAACCGGAAGAGTGTAAGATTAGTTATGAATGTTTCCCCTGAGCTACTATTGTATGAATGGGTTTATTAATGACTGGATGGGTGGACAGTAGATGGGTTTTGTGACCTGTTGTGACCTCTCTGTGGTAGGGACACATATGGTGTGAAGTACGCATGATTGATTTTATTCTGGATGGGCACTACCGCGGGGCGAGTAACTCGATAATTTTGCGATGAAATGTTTATTCCGAAAGAAAAATTGTCAAATCTTGATGTGCACAGGCGCAGTTGGAATACGGAACTGGCTTATTGGCAACCAGAGATTCCAAGGCAGTGTGAACCCAGGCTAATTGATCTGTTGTCTCTTGTAATTTACCACTGGCATGACTGATTCTGACAAGTGTTGTTTGTAGGGTTTCTACCCCAAATACCCTGGAGGGTTAGTTGAAAGCTATGTTTCTTTTTGTCTGTCCTGATTCAGTGGCCAGCACAGACAGCGAAACGGAGCTAGCAGCCAACTGTCTGTGGCTTGTCACCAACTCCAAGCCCTGTCCCAAATGCACGGCACCCATCCAGAAGAACGACGGCTGCAATCACATGAAATGCACTAAGGTAAAGTCTCTGGGATATCAACAAGGAATCTCTGCAGCAGATGCAAATTGTCCCTTCATCTCCACTTGAAATAAATTGGGGAAAAAAGTCATTTTGTGAATTAATTCCTTCCTATATAAAGGTACCCAATGGCATTTTTACCTTAGGCCCCCCAAAAAAGTCTCCAGTTTCTGGTATACGCACGTGTCGCCATAGCCATGCGCGTTGGCAAAATGAGAAAAAAACCAAAATATTCGATGTAAGATGATGTCTCAAAACTGCCTAACTTACTGGTTTGACTGAAATCCTGCTGCTGCACAACTTTAACGTGTATTTAGATGGGGTTACAATCGAGTATAAGCTTTATGTGGCCTCTCTTTGGCCTATATATTTTGCACTAAATTTAGTCGGGCACCATTTGCAGTCATCAGTCGACATGTGAAGAAAAAAAAGTAAAAAAAAAAAAGAGCCCCGTCGCCGCACCTCTTGGGCATGCTCCATACCAGAAACCGGAGACTTTTTTTTGGCCGGTAACCGATAATATTCTGCAGTTTTTTGGATTTTTTTTTTTAATGCTTACCAGCTGCATGAGGAATTTGCTTATAGTAATAGGATATTTGTTTGTCTTTGTTGACAGTGTAAGCATGATTTCTGCTGGGTGTGCCAAGAAGCCTGGAGCAAGCACAGCTCAGAGACGGGCGGCTACTTCCGCTGTAATCGCTTTGAGGTGGTCACCAAGGTTGACGAGAAGGCGGAGAATCTGCTGACAGATGTAAGGCTGTGTCCAAATTGTTTGGCTACGGCTTGCAATTACACTTGTGTCTATGGAGGCGGCTGAAGCCACTTCCCATAGGCTCTGACTCTTTAGGACCATATTCAGACTAATTGGCTATGGCTTGCAAATGCACATGCACCTATGTAGGTGTCTGAAGCCACTTCTAATAGTTTCTGATCCTTAAGGCCATATTCACACTACTTGGCTATGGCTTGCAAATACACATGCGCCTATGTAGGTGTCTGAAGCCACTTCTAATAGGTTCTGACCCTTAAGGCCATATTCAAATTAAAAATTCCTCTACAAATTAAAAAAATCACCTTTTGCGGCAAAATTAGACCTATTTAGGATCACGTAGTTCCCCGAGAAAACCCTGAAAATTGATTTAAAAAGTTGTGTTTCGTTTAAAAGCTCTGTCTAGAGGCATCTGATTTTGATGGAACGCATCACAATTATTGTTGCCATTTTTTTTTACAGGCTGAGAAAAAGCACCGTGAGATGCAGGAGCTGAACCGCTTCATCCACTTCTACACTCGCTTCAAGAACCATGCCCACAGTCACAGCCTGGAGGAACCGTTACTACGCAAGGCGGTCGTCAAGATGAGAAAGCTGGGCACTCGCTCAGGACCGTCAGGTGAGAGACGAGAAGTAGAATCAGTATGAGGAACTGAGATAGGAGTGGGGAGATACTAGACTCTGTTCCAGGATTTCGTAAAGGGAGGAATGTATAATCCGTATGGGGAGTTGGGATGGGGCTGCAGGAAAATAGTGCTGGACCTTTTTTGGTGAGGGAGGGATGTAGAATCAGAGTTGGAAGGTCAGCGACAAGAAACTAGACTGGGAAATTAGAATGAGTATGATGGTTTTGAGGTTGGTGCCTTGGGAAAAATCTCCAAGACTCTGCTAAAGGCTGTCAGATGAGGGAGGACACTTGAGTCGGTATGAGGAATTAAACTGGTAAACTAGACTCTGCTCAAGGCTTTCCTGGGGATGGGACTAGAATTAGTAATGGAGAATTGGGATGGTGTCATGAGGGCATTAGCCAAATAGACTCTGCTCAAGGCTTTCAGGTGAGGATTAAGCTTGAACCATCTGAAGAATTGGGATTGGGCTAATGGTCTAGCAAGAACCTAGACTCTGCTGAAGTCTTTCAGGTGTAGGAAAAAACTTCAGGAATCTTCTGTAGCATTGGGATAGGGCCATGGGGACAGCAAGAAACTAGTCTTTGCTCAAGGCTTCCAGGTGAGCGAGAGAACCAGACTCGCTCGAAGATTTTGAATTGTGGCAGCAAGAAAGTAGACATTTGTTGTTATGTTTTAGGTCCTGAGGCGACCAAATTCATCCAGGAGTCTATTCTGGAGTTGCTTCGAGCCCGTCGTATTCTGCGCTTCTCCTATCCATACGGCTACTACTTAGAGGACAGAGGGGGCAGCAAACAAATCTTTGAATTCATGCAGGTGAGTCGGAAGTGTGATATCAACAATAAGATGTCAATCTTTCAATGCAAATGATTTTTGGGGGCATGGGTGAAAGCAATTTCCACAAATGGGAAACAGCCTGAATCGTTCAAAAGTCAACCTGCATGCTGTAAACCAGTGGCTTATTGTTTGTACTTAAAACAGAAGTGGGACATTAGGTTTAATGAAAAGTAACAATGGCTTGGTTGCCCAGTCTCGAAATCCATCAAAATACACAACATTTTATATTTTTCGTCAAAGAAACCACATAGGGAAACTGACTAGGTGCATCATAATTATTTTATGGTTGAACAAAGAAATTAACTGGAGCGGGGCTTGAACCTGCGTTTGAACCCAGATTACCGTTTCGGTGCTCTACCAACTGAGCCATCCAGCCCTATGTTGGCGGCTCCCCATTTAGTCAATGCCTTTGTTCACGAGGTGCTAGTCAGAGGCCATAAACCCATGTATGCCATGTAGCCAGGGGCTGTGCCAAATGTTGCTTTCATTGTGACTTTGGGCATGGTCCCTGGCTACATGGCATATATGGGTTTATGGCTTCTGACTAGCGCCCCTTGAACAAAGACATTGACTAAATTCGGGAGCCGCCCAACATAAGGCCGGATAGCTCAGTTGGTAGAGCACCGGAACGATAATCCGGAGGTCATAGGTTCAAACCCCACTCCAGTCAATTTCTTTGTTCATCCCTTGAAAGAAAATAAATGTTGTAAATTTGAGTTTAAAGCAGATTTGTGATAGAGTGAATCTGAAGTCAATCACAAGACAAATCTGAGGTCATGTCACAAGTAACAGAGACGAACAAGCGATGTCTTCGCCAAGATTCTCTCAAATAGTTTGGGACTTGACTTGGGACGTAGATGACTAGTATGACTGACTTTTGATGAATTGTGATGACTTGACAAAAAGTCTTGATTTAAGCTAATGTCTTCCCGCCACACCCCAGAATGAGCTTGAGGAGGCGACAGAGACCCTCTCCCAGATGGTTGCCCGGCACTACCTGCGCACCCCACGCCACAAGATAGTCCAGGCTGCCCAGCTGGTACTCCGCAAACGACACGAGTTCCTGTCGGCAGTCAGTAAGGGCCTCCTGCCCCCGGACACGCCCCCACGTGTTCCACGCCGGCCCTCCAACCTTCACCAGCCCAGCTGGGAAAGTGACTCGGATGAAGAGGTAGGAACAATTTTCAAACAAGTACATAAAAAAAGAAGAAACAAAGAACCGCATCCGCTCTGAGTGATCCCTGTTTGCTATTTCCCAGGTTTTCAGTATTGCCAATGTTGCTAGCATTGTGACGTTGGTTGCAATCCCTGGCTGCATGGCATGTACGGGTTTATGACTTCTTACTAGCACCCCTTGAACAAAGACAGTGACATAATGGGGAACCGCCATCATAGGGCTGGATAGCTCAGTCAGCAAAGCACCGAAACGGCAATCCGGAGGTTGCAGGTTCAAACCCTGCTCCAGTCAGTTTCTTTGTACAACTTTAATATCAAAAAAAGGAACTTGGATGCTTTGCGCTGTCTCTCTGAAATCATTTACTACACTACTCGAACAATTATTGTTACATGGTCCATGGCATTTGGTACCCCTGAGGGTGACAAAACCCATGAACCTTATTACAACAAACAACAGGTGTTTTGTTGGTCTAATTTAATGGTGGCATGGGCTGCCAAAACAATGTACGTGGGTCATTCTGTAACTTTGGAGTCCACTTTTTCCTGTGGACATCTATGACATCTATGATTTTATTATTCTGATGCTCTCTTAATGTAGGCGTCCTCCAAGAGTGATTATGAATAGCAAACTACCTACCCAACAAATAAACAAATCATTTGAAGTCATTTGTATTCATACTTGAATAACAAATTACAAAGAACTAAGGTAACGGGCAGGAAAAAAAAATGTCACACTTGAGACCCTAAATTTATAGAATGACCTACATCCCTTCTGACTGTGTGGGCCTCTCCTTTCAACACAGTCCCTGGTGACTGCAATTGTTCAAACAACTCATCTCCCTGCTCAGAATCATCCCAACTTAGAAAATGTGACTTTTTTTCACCTGTTTTGAAATCAATGTTGCTCAGTCATCCATGATTGCAGGAGCACAAGTAAAGTATCAACTGAAAGCCGATGAACCACCCCGATACACTCAAACAGACAGTGTGAGGTATGTAATTTTTTACATACCAACCCATTAAGATTACCTATTTTATACATCCCGTGCAGGACGAAGCCTTCCGTCAGGCCATTGAGGCATCATTGCAGGAGGCCGTGGCCCAGGCAGAGTCCTCAACAGCCGAGCAGCAAGAGGATTCCCCACTGTCATTCCTGGATCTGCACCTCGGCAGCCACAGGAAGACGCACAACAGTTCTGGAAACAGAGGTACCGTCAAACCTGAATTTACATCTTCCTGGTGCAAAGATTTCATCCTACAAAACAGTGATTGATGACAGTACCCACTGCTATATGAGATTCACCCTGATGACCCGGTTTAGTGGTTGAGAGGTTAGACGTCTGCACTAGTAAGCAGGAGGTCATGGGTTCAAGTCCCACCCGAGGAAGCTTGTGAATTTTTCTGTCAAGCTCTTGAGCAGCACTGAGTATACAAAGTTTATGAAATTAAATTGGTGAAGGGCGAAACCCAATGTTAAAGGTACAGAAAATCATTTGCAGCTATCCAAAAGTAGCTGAGCAAATTATTGTTAAAAGCGCTTGGTTTAAAGATAGTAATGGCAATAAACTCCCTGTGAAATTGTTCCTTCTGGCATGCTGTCTTTGTTAAGAAAACGAAAAAGGTAGTTTCCAAAGATGTGTTCATAAGTGACTCATTTTTGGAAATTTCTGTTAGTAGTTGGATTGTAATTGGACGAATCCGTGAATGGGTGCACAAAGTGTTGACCCGACGCCACACGCCCGCGGTTGCTATTATTCGTCGATTCAGTGCGTGACATCACGTAGCTGCAATCGGCTGAATGAGAACGCATCCCGGATGCTGATTTCGGGCGCAATTTAAACTATGCCTCGGCAACTTTTGAATTGAAATCGAGATCCTAGAATATTGTTTTCACAGAATATACAGCATTCACAGAGCTAAAACTGCATCTGGTTGGTTGTTGAGCACCCGTCTTTTGATTTGAGTACCTTTGCTGCTTCAAACGAAAAAAATGCACAAATGACAAATGATCTACTCTACTTTTAAAGAAAAGATCTTAACAAGTTGTGGCGGGTCGTTGTTTTTTAATCACAGTGGTAGCTGACCCAGGAAGCATGACAGAGGGTCTACTGCGAGCGTTGGAGATGTCCCAGTTACTCCTGATGCAGCAAACAGAACAACTCCAGCCTCATGACTTAAGCAGCGCCACGTCCACAGCTAGCACCAACAGCAGCAACAGCAGCAGTAATATAACAGTGGCAGCTGGCAACATCGGGACATCTGCAGGGTGAGTCATTATTGTAGTCACAAGACTTATTGTAGTCGCATCACAAGTCTGTAGTCGCATCACAAGTCTGGTCACAGGTAAAGGGGATGAACCTGTGTTCACAGGAACGAAGTGCCCATCTCTCTTTCGAAGCGATTGGGCCAGACTCGAGTCCATTTAATGCTGCTGTGGGGGAATCGCCACACCTCCTCCACAGCGAGTCTGTTACCTTCCCAGCATTGAATAATACCAGTACCCATTTAACACCTGGGTTGAGAGGAGTAATTGAGGTAAAGTGCCTTACTCAAGACAACACGCATGACCACGGCGGGGCTCGAACCCTCAATCCCACGATCATGAATCGTATGCCCTGCCGCTAGACCACATGTGCCCAAAGTAAATCACAATTCCAGTCACAAGTATCAGGAGATGTACAGTAACAAGGAACAGTCTTTGTCAGTGCACACATTTTTGGTGTGTGCTGAGATCCTATGAGTTTGTACACTAAGGTCTTGCTGGCATTTTGACGACAATTTATAAAAAACAATTTGGAGGGACTGTTCGTGGAAATGACAAATTTGTGACGCGGGATGATGAAAAACGTTTTGCTTTTCAATGGTCGTGTAAAGGGAAAGATACATATTCAGGGAAAGAAGTCAAATATTAATGATCATTATTACAAAACACTTTGTCAAATTGAGCATTGTGTATTTACTAAGCATGAACATTTCGATGAGCCTACCACTTTGTCCCAGTGGGGGGAGACACATGATTATTCTTTATCAACAGTCCTTGAACACAAGCAACTTAGGAGGAAAGAGTAATTGTTCCGGAGAAGTACGAAATCCTTTTTGTTTATTACTTCTGCCTAAGGAAGCAAGGAGACTAATTATAGAAACTTGAAAATGGAAACATTCTGATATGCAACCTGGGGGGCAGGTGAAGTAAGCAAATAATTACTCTAAATTTGGACAAGGATGGGTTGAGATTTTCCCACAAGCTTAGATACTTTTCTGAATATCTACTATAAGAAGTGCAAAAAGCAAAACAATTAATGAAATTTTTTATTTATAAAACAAAACGATGAAGAACTCTTTTGAAAAGATAATTTGCGTGTTCATGTTTATTGTAGGTCCATTCACCCTAACCAACCCAATCCCTTCAAAATCCGACTGCATGTTTTGTTTGATTCTGTTGGAGTGAGTACTGCACGAATAAACTGATTATACTTTACATGGGGTTAGGCGTACCACCAGTAATCAGAGTCCAACAGCTTGGGTGTGGAGTTGCCATATGGTGTTGGATTTTGTAAGAGTGAGGACGATTCCTAGTAAATCACTCAAGAGGATGGGGGGTAATTGGCAACACTAATGATCTTCTTGTGTGGGAAGTGAATTTCTACTTCATTAGGGACAAATAGTGAGGTCATTGATGGTAAACCTTGGTGCACAGCTTCAGATACAAGCTAATTAGGCTGTTTTGATCAAGATGTCTATTTTTGGTGTTTTTCCCCCCAACAAGCCACCTTGATGGAGTGGCCTACGTGCCAAGAGACGTGGAACACATTGAGACCTTGCCTGTATTGCTGTGTTTCATTGGTTTATTATATATAATTTTTCTTTTCTTTTTTTTCTTCTCTACAAGCCACCTTAATTGAGTGGCCTACGTGCCAAGAGACGTGGAACACATTGAAACCTTGCCCGTATTTCTGTGTTTCTGTGGTTTCTTTGTTCCCTCAATTTGCTTCGTCAGACTTCTGTCATGTACAAAAATAATCTGGCTTCTTTGAGAGCTTAACAAGGGAGGTTCTTGTACCAGTCTGTATACCCTTCGTTCATACACTTAGAGTTTAACAGCCAAATACTGCCACGCCCCTAAGAGGGTGCATTTGTGATGGCTCCACATCTAAAACATTTTCTCGCATGAATATAAACATCTGTGCCAAGTTTCAGGCCTTTATGAAAAAGTGCACAATTCATCGATATTTTGTCACATATCCGCTGGACTATAGTAATAATAATAATAATAATAATAATAACCGTATTTATGTAGCGCCTTTTCCAAAGGATACAAAGCGCTGGGGGAGAATGCAACCAAAGACAGGTAAATGAAGTATATGAACATATGAGACCCATTATGCAGCACCTTTTTGCTAGGTGCTGCGGCGCATAATTGCTGCCACTGCCAGAAACACAGGGGCAAACCCTTCTCTTAGCGACAAGTGTATACTGGGATCTTTAACGTGCATTACACAACACACAGGACCTACGGCTTTACGTCCCATCCGAAGGACGAAGCAATAATGGTAAAGCGCCTTGCTCAAGAGCACAAGCACCATGTTCCCGCGGTCAGGATTCTAACCCATGTACCCTGGCACACGAGTTGAACACCGTAACCAGAGGACCACAGTAGATTAAAGGTCCTAAGCAAAAATCAGCGGAGAACCAGTCACAAGTAATAGAAATCCATGAAATTGTGGCTGGTAACCAGTTTTTGTTTAAGCAAGTACATGTAGCAGAAGCGCCCTCATGTACATGACTTTGTCCAGTCACTCATTGGTCAATTCAAAGTTGCCAGTCTGCTAGTTCCCACCGAGTTTCCACCTTTTTGGACTGGTGGGGGTTGTAGTAGACTAAAGTCAACTCTTTGTTTGGAGCTGGAGTACAGATGTCCATGTTGTCAACTGAAAATAACAAGGTCTTGATGTGTTGGGAGCTGGGAGAGATCACTGGGAGAGACAATCAAACGCATTCCTGTGACACCTGACTCTCACGCTAAGACGTTGGTGCACATTTGGAATAAAAACTTAGAAACCTGGTGGTGTAAGTTGTGGCGTAGCGACTGAAAATTACCTATTTTACCAGCAAATGGTGATCATCATGGAGCCTGTTATCGCACCACTTTTTTAAGGTTGATACCAGACACTCGCAGCTTTGTGTTTAAAGAATTGCTATTTTACTCGTGACAGAGTTTTTAGTGTTGCCGCATGATTCCGAAGAAAGTCCGACAAAAATATTTAGAAAATGGCGGGCGTAGGTGATTCAGCGACTGTTTCATTTAACAAACAAAATCATAACATGAACAGCCGTTGCAAATGCTGTTATTACCCTTTTCCTAGACAAGATGTTTAGATTATTTAAAACGTTGGGCAGCTACGCCAAGTTTCATGAAATGCATTGTAAGTTTATTGCGCAGCTGCGCAATAAATTTGTTGCGTAAGTACTATGCATGGCGTAAGTGACGCACTGTTTTGTGAAATCGGCTGCTGGACTTGCCCGAATTTCTTTAACTGTTAAAATTTAAAGTCATTGAAAAAGTCCATAGTCATACTTGTAATTACTTTGTGGCGCATATGCATTTTTTCCCCATCTTTCAAGTACTTGCCAGAAGATGATTCCATTGCTTCACATAGCATGAACGACATCATTTTAGAACTTAATCTGCAATAGGCCATATTCTTTAGCGAATGAGGGCACCATTTCCTAGAAATGGACATTAGAAAAAAAAACCCAATGTTTTTATTGAAGCAGTTAAGTACATGTAACTTTCCTTTCAACCTTAACATAAAGATGGTAAAAATGTAATTTTCGAGCTATAGCAATTTGTATAAACCTACATCAATAACTTCATATTGACTTCTTTTTATACCCCCAAGTGGCATTGTTATAGCGCCCTCACAGTCTCAGGAATAAGGTCTATTGGTTTGTTATCTAGTTCCTATCAGCTTGTGTATTTCTCAGTAAGGTACACTCTTCACTAATTTGTCTTTAAGCTTTTTTTGAGGGTCTGTTTAGTGAAAAGAAAAATGACGTTTCCTCTGTTCCACAAATGTTTGGGATTCCAAGGAACTCTCAACACCTAATCACATCAAACACTCGTTTGGAACAGTCAACACCAACCCATTACTGACGTAAACAATCGCAACACCCTGTTTATTTGGGCGTGGAAAAAAGGATTTCTCAGTGACTTGTGTTAGGAGAGGCGCAGATAGAAGCACTGTGATACAGACACACAAGGATGGAGTGCACACACTTCAGGCTGGGTCCAAAGAGTCAACAAACTTCAAGTAGTTGACAGAAGATGAGTTTCACTACTGCCTCTGGGCATTGTGTTTGCAAACTATTAAAATGTGACTTGAAGCTTTGCATGGTGGAAAGTACTAAAGCATAGAAAGTACAACTTGGCAGAAATACTCGGATGGGAAGATTAGCAGTTCTGAGTAAACCAGAGGTGTTGCATGCCACTGGATATTTTGTCAGTATGCTCTTACCATCAGTAGGAAGATTCACCTAAAAAAACTAGCACAATGTATTTTGAGCTGTCACATGCATTATAAAGCCCGGTTCATACTCGACGCGAAAGTGAAAGCGAATGCAAATTTGTGATGTCATGGCAAGTATTTGCGCTGCAAATTTGTAAAAGTTGAGCACATTTCATCTTGGGGGGAACTTTGCAGCGAATGTTTCATGACGTCAAATTCTCTTCACATTCGCATTTACATGAAGTTTAAACCGGGCTTAATGCCCACAGAGAGCAAAATTTGTCGGACAAAAAATTTGTCATCGGAGTGTTGTGCCAAAGCGATAGGGGTCATCGCACTTTCCCTTGCCCTTGATAATGCTACCTGCATAGCAGCAATCCGCCCATCGGAACTGAACGAGTTGCGGAAAGCAAAGGATTTTGACGTTTGATTTTTTTGCCCTAAAATGACTCAACTGGTGATTAAATGTGTTTGTGGAGGTACTAAGAGAAGACTCAGACTTTGCCAGTAATTAAAAAAAAAAAAAAAATGCTGTATAATTTAAAATAAAAATCTAAAAACTTAATTTGGCCTGACGTTGCGGACTTTATAACAAGTCCTTCTTCAGCGTTCAGAGGCAAAAAAACAAATTATAATTAAAGCAATATATATATTAATTTAAAATGAAGCAAAATACATGTAGAGGAGTGCTTGTAGAAATATTGATGTTCAGACAACCTAGATCATTTCCCAGGTTTTACAAATGAACACATGTACTGCA